GTTTTTGGTTTTCGGGGGTGGGGGGGGGGGGGGGGCTTATAGTGTCCTGGCCCCACTGCTGGACTTCCTGATGGCACCTGGACTGGATGGGCCATTGGCTTGATCCAACATTGGCTTCTCTTATGTTCTTATGTTCTTAAATTATGTATTCCAGAGACACACGTTTTATCTCCTTGGGTGCTGTTTAGGAGAACACAGCCCACATCCCTTGAATTTTCAGAAGCGGAGGGGGAGGGGGAGGGGGAGGAGGAGGAGATTGGATTTATACGCCGACCTTCACTACCCAAAAGTGACCCAGAGCGGAGTAACAACTGCTTTCCCTCCCCCTCCCCACAACAAACACCCTGTGAGGTAGGCGGGGCTGAGAGAGCTCTGACAGAAACTTCTCTTTTTTCAAGAACAGCTCTTATCAGAACTACAGCTTGCCCAAGGTCATCCAGCAGGTGCAAGTGGAGGAGTGGGGAATCAAACCCGGTTCTCCCAGATTAGAGTCCGCGCACTTCACCACTGCACCAAAGAGAGGTGGTTGGCCATTGCCTGCCTCTGGGTCGCGACTCCGGACTTCCTTGTTTATCTGCGATCCAAGTACCCATCAGGGCTGACCCTGCTTATCCGCTGAGATCTTGTGAGGTCAAGCTAGCCTGGGGTATTTCGTAGCCCACCAGACATCAACAAGCCCCTGCTTTAAAGCTGCCTGTACTGTACTGACCCTCTCGCCGTCTTCGCCGTGGGGGCCAGGAAGGACTTATTATTTATTTTATTAATTTATTATTTTGATTTATACCCCCCCTCCCCGCAAGCGGGCTCAGGGCGGCTTACAGCGTGGGTACCCTGTACCATAAAAACCATGTCCAACATTTAAACATCATTAAGCATTTAAAACAATCCAACAATTAACAATTAAAGTGCTAGTGATGGTACACTTTTGAGGGTAATCTCTACATGATTCAGATGGTGTACTAAGAATTTTCATCGGCATCGGTGATCTTCAGCTTGGTGCGATGATATAACGCAAACCCTCCCCAGGACCAGAGTCAACCCAAACCACGGATGTTGTTGGTGGTAGAGGAGCGCACCGGGGTCACCCTGGTGTGGAGGGGGAGAGAAGCGAAAGCCGTGAGCCTGGGCTGGCCAGCAAGAGAAACACCGGCCACCTCTCCACAGCAGACTTGGCCAGCCCTTCTCCAGGAACTCTGGGAACAGAATTCTGGCAGAAACTGCTCTTTCTCAAGAACCAGAACTATGGCTTGTCGAAGGTCATCCAGCAGGTGCAAGTGGAGGAGTAGGGAATCCAACCAGTACACCAAACTGGCTCTCAGGGAGAAGGGGGTGAATGTGGGCAGCACGCTGTCACTCAAACTGCTTTACAGGGAGGCATTAACCCCTCATCTCCCAGCTTTCTGAGTCTGATGTCCTAAGCATTCTGCTTTTGGAGGTCAGTTCATCACGGGGGACTCTGCATCCCCGGGTTCCCCTTCTCCCCTCCCCCGCCAGACTCACCGGGTCCCGCTGCAGGAGGGCCTGAGCTTGGGCTTCCTGGGCGGACACCACCGGCCTTTCATCCTGTTCACCGCTCTCAGAGCCGAACTGGGGAGAGAAGGAGGAAGCGCCATCAGGTCCCCTGGAGACAAATCCCTTTCAGGCCACGTCCACCCACCCCACCCCATTCCCTGTGCGTGCAACCCCCCACCCCGAGGGGGGTGTCTTTGCAGTGAGGCCCAGAGGCAGAGGGGCTAGGGACGCCAACCACCAGGGGGCACCTGGAGATCTCCCACCATTACAATTGACCTCCAGGTGACCAGGATCCGTTCCCCTTGAGAAAATGGCTGCTTTGCAAGGTGGACTCTGACCGGGAGACGTCCAGAGCCATGATGTGCCCCATGCTGAGTGAAACTCCTGGTGTTCAAGAGACACCCTCTGCAGCCGCCTTCCCCCCCCTCAGTCCGGCCCTTCCTGTACCTCAAGACTGTCCCCTCTGAGTGGGGAGGCACCTCCAGGGACTTTTAACTGCTGCATTGAGCTCCCGTGGGTGAAACGTCCTAACACCACTACGTGAGACTGTCATGCTGAAAAGCAACTGCTGAGATCCTCTTCGGAAGCCCTGGCCTTGGTGTCCCACCTGTAGAGATGAGGCAGGTAGGGACCAGAGACATGGCCTCCTCCGTGGTGGCGCCTTGCCTTTGAACACCCTCCCCCAAGGACGCTCATGTGGCCCCTATCTTACTTGCCTTCTGGCACTAGCCTTTCTGAGGTATTTCTCTCTACCCAACAAGAGGCCTGTTAACTAAGGGTTTTCCCCCTCTCTTAGCTGTTTTAATGGTCTGCTTCTGGCCACCAGACGTTGTTACATGTTCATCTTTGTGCTGCTCCACACATATGTGAAGCTCTGTGGCTGGGAGGTAGGCCGAATCCCCATCTCCTCTTGCGCCAGTCACAACCCGAATTGGATCCAGGCGTGCCTGGGAAGTGAGTTCCCAGAAAACAGCTCCACCCAAAGTCCTTGTGGAAGGGAGGGTGCCAGGCCTCTGAAGAAGGCCTCGGCCTCTGTGTCCCCGTCAGTAACTGGTTGGCCGCTGTGTGAGACCGGGGGCTGCATTTGATGGACCCTCACCAGTCTGATCCAGCAGGGCTCTTCTTCCCCACACTCACAGCACTGGCTTACCTTCTCTGCCAGACGGGCTACTTGGTGCAGGGACAGGGGGGCATTCCGACCGGAGCATTTGACACAGTTCAAGGGACATCGATGGGGCTTCTCTCCTGCATGGCTTTTCTGGTGTCTCTGGAAGTCAGAAAGACAATGATACGTTCTCCAACACTCCAAGCACTTGTATATTCGGTCTGTTATATGACTCCGCTCGTGCACCAGGAAGGCTGAAGTCCCTTGAAACGTTTGCCCGCAATAAGAACAGATGTATATTTTTTCCGCCATTTGTGGGTTCTCGGCGTAAGTCAGTGCCCTGACGGACGTTGCTTCACAGTCTTGGTCCCTCTGTGTCCTTTTACGCCTCAAGAATCTCTCACCCGACTCTAAAACGTCCAGCATTTGCCTGCCGAATCAAGGCTATTTCGGGGGTTTTCTCCACAATATCGTACAAATGACTTGGTGTCCCCAACAGAATTTCAGGGCCCCCAAAACAAATCCCTTCAGATCCTTCTCGTGGTCGATCGCCAAAGGCCACTCGCTCAGCTCTCTTCTGCAAACAACCCTCCTCCTGATATTCCAGCACTCGGATACTCGATCCTGGAACAAAATTAGGACATCATGAGCAACAACCCCCCCACAGCAGCAGTGATTATAAGGCAGTACAGGGAAGGCATCTTTCCTTGCTGAGAGACTACAGTATACCAAGG